GAGTTCAGGCTGCGTCGGATTGGCTCTTGATTTACCCAAAGGGTATTCGTGATCTCCTACTATATGCAAAAAACAAATTCAATAATCCCGCCTTGTACGTTACAGAGAACGGTAATCCATAGCATTTGATAGATTCTTAGATGAATAATCGATTTTTCTGAACAAAAGGCTAATATTTTTATTTCTCTTCTCTTCTTGAAATCATGTAGGAGTTGATGAAGCAAGTATTGGAGAAATATTTCTTAACGACGATTTGAGAATCGATTACTACGCCCATCATCTTAAGATGGTTCGTGATGCGATCTCGTAAGTCCTCCTTTTTCGATCAAATCTATAAACTCCTAAGAAAAGATTATATGCTGGATATATTTGTTCAAGAAAAAACTTCATCTCAACCGGAATTATCTAAAGCAAAACGAAAGGTAGATTCCATATCGAACGAAATAACAGATTGGACACGCCAATAACGTAAGAATTTGGGGCGTAACAGAGGCTGAAAATGTTTTGTTTAAACGATATTTACATAAAATGTAGGATGGGGGTGAATGTGAAAGGATATTTCGCATGGTCTTTGATGGATAATTATGAATGGTCGGAAGGATACACGGTCCGATTCGGGCTAGTGTTTGTGGACTTTGAAGATGGAGGTAAGAGGTATCCAAAGAAATCAGCTAAGTGGTTTAGGAAATTGTTGAAGGGAGAATATAATGGGACGAAGCAGCAGGTGGCTGCTATTTAATAAATCATGAGCCATTGGTTAATTTGTTTCCTATTTGTTGTTATATGTAATGCGTCGATGTACAGAAAATAAAACTTTCGAATAAGAGGTGGTTTTATTGGAAAACTTTGGTTGTTCTGTTCGTTCGTTAGTTTCCAAACATTTCAAAAACATTGAGCTAAAAATTCGAAAGTTTATTACACACGACTATAACGATACATTTAAGTAGTTCGATTAATTGGTTATGACTTTTAGATTTTAGAGTAGATTTAAAATGTATGAGTCATTGATTCATGAAACACAAGAAAATGGGAGATGGATTGAA